CCAACTACTCAAAGCAGGAGGAAATCCTGTGGTAAATGTGCTTGTGAAACTTTTCAACAAAGTTCTTCATGAACTCCAAGCTCGAACACCAGAGCAATGGAAGAATGCCATCGTCACTATCATCCACAAAAAAGGCGACATTGTAAAACTTAGCAATTATCGGCCGATTAGCTTGCTCTCTCAGATTTATAAACTTTTTACAAAGATGTTGACCATCTGGCTTGACGAACCAGTCAACTTGACGAAGCGCAGCCTATTGAGCAGGCTGGCTTTCGGAGCGGCTTCTCAACCATCGACCATATCCACACGGTTAATCAGCTGATGGGAAAATGTCTCGAATTTAACCGGCCCCTTGTCGTGGCCTTCGTCGATTATGAGAAGGCCTTTAACAGTATCAAACATTGGGCCGTGTTCCACGCTCTTCATCGCTGCCACAACGTTTTCCACTACGTGCACTCTGCAGGTACGAGTTCACGATTTAACCAATCCCGTTCCAATCCTGCGTGGACTTGAGGATGTCGTAAAAACCCTTAAATAGGATAACCGCCGCATTAACATCAATGGTGTAACACCATTTGTCTCACCTAAGATTCGTGGACGATCTCGTGCTATTTGCAAGTTTCGACGATCTTCAAAGGATGAAGGAACAACTATATGATGCTTCTTTGAGAGTCGGCCTAAGGATGAATATGTCCAAGACGAAGATTATGGCGAATCTCTCCAGTCCGTCAAATACGGTCACGGTGGAAAATGAGACGCTGGAGAGAGTCGACCAGTACGTCTGTCTCGGACATGTTCTGTCCTTTGGCAAAGAACATCAGCGTAAAGAGACCTCAAAAAGAAAAAAGAAAAGCTTGTTTAATCAATGTGTTCTGCCCACCATGACGTATGGTGATGAGACGTGGACAGTCACTCAGGAGACTATGTACAGGTTGAGAGTCGCATAGAGGGACATGGAGCGCGCTATGCTCGGCATCAGCCTTGTAGACCGAGTTCCGAACGTTGAGATCCGACGATGGACGAAAGTCCAGGATGCTGGAACTCGAATCATGGAACTCAAATAGGGATGAGCTAGGTGTCCCACCTAGCTAGGCAAGGTGATGCCAGGTGGAGCTAGACATCGACTGATTGGTGGCCGAGGATGGGCAAAAGATGCGTCTGGCGCCCTGTTGCAAGGTGGATTGACGACATAGAATGCGTCGCGGGGCGTCAATGGATGCGGCTAGCACGGGACCGTGATGGATGGCACAAACTTCGGGATGCCTATACCCAGCAGTGGGTGAAATCAGGCTGTGAACGATGATGATGCCTTATCAAGCCTCAATGTCCGGACAAGCCTATCGTATGTCCTCATGGTAAACATTTGGGTTTTTACAACTTATCTTTAGGAAACATTCGTAGAGATGGCGTTGTGTATATTCTTCAACTGCCAATAAAAGCAACAATGAACTCATCCCCAAAATCCAGGGAAGTACTGCCACCTTACCTATTTCTGCCGCCAAGCAGTAATGTTAGCATAGTTAGGTTTGGAAGGGTAAGGGTGCTGGTGAAGTTACAGGCACATGGGACTTGCCAACTTAGATCTAAGGGTGACGGGCGCAGTGGCAGTGCTCCTCAGATATTTGCATATTTAAAGCTCTGAATGGCACTGCCACTGTTATGGACAGGCGTGTAGCTTACCATCAGGTGCATGACTCGTTTGTCCCGTCACATAATATTAAAAAGAAAAAGCAGAAGAAAATTCCAAGTGTGCGTCTTTTTAAAGGGGCAAACAAATTTTTATCATAATTAAATTTAAAGAAACAATTAATTTTACTTAATTGTCTTTGTTTTTATATATATTCCAAGTTTGGTGACAATATTCAATTCTGGTTCAACCGATAAGCGTTTTGGTGGCGTTTCTAAATATTGGTGGCGAGAAAAATTTTTAATTGCTTATATCTCTGAAATTAATGGAAACGGTTATGTCCCGTATATATAAATGAAATGTTTCATTGTATTGCAAACGAGTGTCAGATACTGGAAAATCTAAAAAAAAATTGCGCCACCAAAATTTAAAATAAAATGCATTTGTTGATATTCACCTTAAAATATGGGCTATACATACAACGAAAGTAGTGATATTCTTATTATGTACACGGCTAAAGATACGTATTTTACACTGATAATGAGATTCGTAATAACCGTTACCTAATTAGGCAGCAATCTTAAATGCCACATACGCAATTTATATGGTACATTGTTAACAAGCTTTAAAACTAAAGCGGCAACAGGCGAACAACATTTTTTTTGACAAGCGAGACTCGAAATACAAGGCAATTTATGGAGCAAAGGACTTTACGGCCGCCTGGGGAGTTGTCAACGTAACCAGACTCTTCACGGTTGGTACCCTGTTGTCAAATGCCATATGTGCTTCATTGAAGTTTTTGCCAATATTTTAGTTCCGTAAAAGCGGCTTGCTGCTTGCTATAAGTGTAAATAAAAGTAAGAAATTTACCGATTTTGTGGATAATTAGCAATTCCTTAATATTTAAAAAGGTTCCACAATCCTTACGGAGGTTTTTAAAATGAATATAGCAGTGCTAGTCGGTACCAGTGTTAATTATCGGTAAATTATACAGAATTCAATAAAACAATATTCACTCTACACATTGTATAACTATGCAGAAAAAAATTAATTGTATATATTTCTTATTCTTCTATGTGCTAAAGTTATGGCCAGACACATCAAACGAACAACGACGTGACGTCGCAACTTTAATATTCCCGACGAGGACAGCCGCCAGCCGTAGCACGACGCGCCAAATATTTATTTATGCGACCTAAACTCACGCTAGTGACCAAGTCATTTAATGAACAGAATCGCGCTGTAGATTATTATTATATAGATTTCGTGGATTGCAACGTTTCAACGTTTAAACATGCTTTTTGTAATACATATATACCTACGGCTCACAATTTCTACTAAATATCATAACGTCCTTCAAGTTACAGTCGCCCGAGGAGTTGTCACCGACACCTCGTGGTGTACTACCTTAACATCGTACAGACCGCAAACTCAACGAATGCAGTGATCCCAATAACATCAAGTATTTATCTGTAGTAGGCACAATTTTCAAAAGTCAGTGTAGGACATGCTAGATTATGTAATAAAAATTACTGTCACATCCAAATCATTACCAGTTTTAAGGTATTTTTTTTCTTGTTCACATGTCGCATCCGTGACACACAATGCTATATGTACACTAAACTATGTGTTATAACGTGCTGTACGTAGCTCTCGATGACGACGAGGAGCGTAGGTATATTACACGGCCGACTGGGGAGTTGTAAGCGAGAGGGCCACTTCACAGAGCCGCCAGTGTTATAATAACAAACGACAAACTTTTTTTCTCTTCGACAAATATATTGGCTTCGTCGTTCTTTATTAAAGACCATTTACCAATAAGTCACAATAAAAATCCATCGCGTCTCAAATGAATTTAAACACTATACGGTTGTTACTTGCCAGAATTATATTTTATAAGACTAAAGAACTTATTACGAAATGAAATTGTTAGGTGTTTCTATACATCAGTAATCAAGTGTGCTTTATACAAGTATTAAAATTATTATTATTATTATTATTCTCATAAAGTAATTATACATAGTGTATACGAAAGTTTTAATAGTACGTAAAGCATGTAGCAAAATTACGTGACGTCATAGACAATAATGAATGTAACTAAACAAAAATCATAAATTTGGATAATAGTTCCTTTGAATATTTGATAATAACTTTCATGATAGTTATTGAACGAAACTTTTTATGAATGTAAATAAACGAATCTATTTTCAACGCTTCTCCAAACACAAATAAATAAATAAGTTAAATTTTTAACTGTCTGCTGACCACTTTTTACAGGGATCTCAGCACTATTTATTGGTTACTCTATATATATAATAAGATTATTCCGTTTAAAATCTTAATTTGTTTAGATTTCTAAATGATGTGATATGACAATGACAATACTCGAATCTATTGGTAACATTCTTTAATATAACCAACAGATTCCAGTATTGTCAATTCTGATAAAGCTAACAAACAGCGCGAAATGTTGTTACAGATTCATGCTCAAACATTAAGGAAAGTCAACAAATTACAATTATTTTGAATAAAAACACTAATATATTTTTATTTATTTAGTACGTGTGAATACAATACCGTTTTGCAAATAATTAAACATCAGTGTCTGATTAAACCTCCAATTGGTTTAGCTAGAATAAGCCGGTAACTAATACTTATGACATGTTTCAGTATGTAATTGCGATAGACATTATGTAATTGGTATACGTGCATAGTATCAATCATATTCCTTAAAACTTTGATTTAGAGTCAAACTGGACACATAGTGCCGGGATAACGGCGCGATTTTACGTGAGCTCATATCGAATGCACGAGGAAAACTTATTGTGAGATTACTGTAGCAAGCGCCGCGTCTCGTCCCTAATAGCTACCATCATAGATCGACACGGCACATATCTATAACAGGTGTATTTATTCTATGCTAAGGAGGACTCAAGTTTGTTAAGCGATGTTTGTAAAGCGATGGACCAATAACAATAACCTGACACTTTATTGTGTAGCCTTAGAAAATAGATTTTTCAAGTTTAACCAATAAATCGGATTGTTTCCACACAACTTGAACCACAATCGGTTCCAATTTACGGCGCCCTGTCGTCTATGTTCTTTGCGATAGCAATTATATGTAGATATGTATGAAGTTCGGTAAGTGTAAGCGTGACGGGGTCGCGTGCGTAGCTCCCTGAGTTGCAAGTGTGGGGTTGCAGCTTGTAAGCGCCGGGCCGCGCAACCAGTGGGAGTGTGGAGGTGGCATTGGCGGGTGACGGCGTGACGCGGCGCGGCATGAAGACGCGCGACGAAGCGGCAAGTATCGCGTTCCAAGTTGGCGACGTAAAGTTTGTGGGGCCGATCGAAGCCGCGGCGCGCGCACCACCCCTTGTGCCATATAAGCCGGTCGCCCCACACCCTGCCGTCACAACCGCAAGGGTACGCGAGCGATCGCGAACGCCGCTCGCCCGGGGCGCCGCTCTTTCTCTTTTCTCTCTTTTTCTCTGTTCGTCTGTCTCTTGATGCGGCCGCGCTGAGGCCGATGCGGGCGCCGCCATGCCGCGCTGCCTCATGGCCAAGAAGTGGAAGGTGGCCCCGGGTGCGGAGCTGGCCGACGAGTCTGACGAGGAGATCGACGTGGTCGGCGAGGGGCGCGGCCGCAGCCCAGCGCCTGCTGCCACCGCGCCGGGACCCTCACCTCGCGATCCCGAGCCCACACTCCTCTATAATGGTAAGCACTAACTTTTTAAAACTTCACTTAAACTTCTGAAAACTTTCTTCAACTTACTCCTAGCCACGAGACTCTGCATCCAAGGTAATAAAAGCGGTTAATGTATGATTTCTCCTTGACAAATTTTATCTCTTGACGCTGATGTGATGCGCTCACATGCAACAATCAAAACATAACCTAAAACCTCTTGTAAACAAAACAATTCAACCAACATCATCAACAATAATAATCCTAGAGAACCGCATGGTCCACAAATTACAAGCTTCGCAATACCTTACCAATATCTACATCGAATAAACCATGACACATAGTAGTTATAGAAGTTATAAATACATATATACATATAATACAGCTTATGAGCTTTGCTACAATGCGACTGCCCATGTTTAGCGAATTGGATATAATCAAATTGTGATGCGCATGCGAGATTTCAGGCAAATTTTTATTTAAAAAATACTGATTAAGTGCTAGTTGGACTCACACACCAAAGAATATGTCGGTATCAAGAATTACACATGTGAATTAATGAAAAAAATTAGTATATCTAGTTTAATGTCATGTTCGGTTAAACACACAAAAAATGTTTTCCTATGAACTTTAATTGTTGACAAGAACTCCATAACATCAATACGAAACATAATGAAATTTTATTTCACCTTTATCGATTCTCTCTTTTAATTAATGCAAAACTTGGCAAAAAAGAATTGGAAGTACTTTTTGAAATAATATTTCGAGTGATAATTAATGCGGATTACTTAATTAAATATTATAATTTGCTGTTTTTTAAGTTTCTTTGTCAAACGGTTTCTGGAAAATAAAAAGTGACTCAACGTAATTAACAAATATGGGTTCTGTCTTCCCTTTCTACAAAGGTCTCCTTTTTGTATGTAGATACAAAAAGGAGACTTGTAAAAAGTAGATTTCAGTAATCCTAATAAAGCTGCTTGCATCTGCAATAAACCAGACCAAAATAAAAAAGTGCACCTATGAAATGGCTGCAAATCAAAAAAGTCAACATCACGTTAGCACTGTGCAATATTTGGATTTATCAAGATTTTCGAGGTAATTTTATTTGAAAAATTTTGTTTTTGAATCCATGACTAAAAGATGCCATCGATCATTGTGTTTTGTTCTCTCGTAAATGATTAATCGCGTAATGAAAATTGTATTTTCCAGGGTAACTTCCATAAGTCTAAATAACCAACATACAACAACTATGAATAAATACACTTAGTAACTAGATAAATAAAATGGCAGAACAAACACCAGGGTATTCACAGGTAAAAAAAGGGCAATAATTATTATGAAAAACCCTGAGGGACACTTGCTACGCTGGGTTTTCCAATTATATTGCGGAAATACTTTCACGACACAATGCAAAGCAAGACAAGAGAAGCTATAACCCCTCGGCCAATATTATGACAAACATTATGGCTTATAAATCTACGTGATTGCGTACATGATAATAATAGATACCAGTATCCATAGCTCTACGGCGCTGTTAATATTTTACGGCGTATGAAATCGTTAACTTGAGATAACACTTAGAAATCGATAGAATTGTTTATTTCAAAACTCGTTAATAAATTTTTATAACACCCATTCCGGATTTGTACCAAATACAAATCCTTCATTTTAATATACGTATAAGTCAACGTAAATTGTTTATCATATTGAAATTTATGTTTTATTTTAAACAAACTAATTGTTTATGTGGTATAAATTCATTATTTCAATTATTCCCACTGAATATACTTACATACAAGTCATACGTAGGGCGCACTGTAAGTTTCCGGAACTGGCCACTTACATAAACAATATTAACAAAGTAATTACAACATTTGAAAATGGAACTCTTTGGCTTTAGAATACAGTTTGTTTCATCTGACTGTCACTTGTATTTACATTGTGGCGTCATTTTAGAAATTGGTTGTCTATATCACCATGGATTTAACTGCCTCTGTGGCCGAACGGTTACCGTGCTGGTCTGCCACGAAGAGGTCTCAGGTTGGATTCCCGGGCCGGGAGAAATGTTTGTATGGTCTACATTTATTTCTCTCGTGAGTTTGGGTGTAATTTGTGGTTCTTTATGTGTGTGTCCAAGGCACCCTCGACACAGGGTTTCTCTAGTGCGGGGCTATGTTGAGTGTGAGCGTTATCATCATATCATTATCTCGTAAAAATTTTCGTAGCATGACTTTCTACGATTCTAAGTGTAATGTATCAGCTCAGCGGAGCTTCGCTCGGCTACAAACTGCTTTTAGCGATGAAGCACCATGCAAGACGAATATTTATAGCTGGTTTGCAGAATTCAAACGCGGTCGTGTGAATCTCAGTTACTAATTTCGTGATGATAGCCCGTCCAGTTCTATGAACAACAAAAACATCGATGCTTTGCGCTGTATGATCAAAACAGACAGGTATGAGATATACCATGAGATTTGGGCATCTTTAGGCGTAGGCATGAGTGAAATACAATCAATACTACACAAACATTTGGGTGTGAAAAAGCTGTGCTCTCGGTGGATCCCACACAATTTGAGTGAGACTCAAAAAACGGATCGCGTCACTTGGTGCAATGCCATACTTACCAGATTCAACGAAGGGGCGTCAAATTTGGTGTCGGACATAGTAACAGGTGACGAAACATGGATTTATAGTTACGATCCCAAAACAAAGCAGCAATCGAGCGTATGGGTCTTTCGAGATGAGCCGAAACCAACCAAAGTGACGCGCGTGCAAAGTGCCTCTAAGTGGATGATTGCTTCTTTTTTAATAAAAGTGGACACGTGACTACTGTTGCTTTGGAGAATCGTTGTACCGTGAATAATGATTGGTACACGATCATTTGTTTGCTGGAAGTTATTGACAAACTCCGTAAAAATAACCATAAACGCCGTATCATCTAGCACCACGATAATACCTGTTCTCACACCGCCAGACAGACAAATGAATTTTTGAAGGTGTACAACGTTGACCTTATGAGTCATCCCGCATACAGTCCTGACCTGGCACCTTATGACTTTTATTTATTTCCAAAAATTAAGAACCAGTTACGAGGTTAACGATTTTCATCACCTGAAGAGGCGTCGAGGAGTATGAAAAATATGTTTCAGAGATTGTAACGGAGGAGTGGCATAAATGTTTTTAAAATTGGTTCATTCGTATGAAAAAGTGCATTAACGCTAGCGGAGAATATTTTGAGAAACAATAAATTCATTTCTGACCATTTATAGTATGTTTTTCTTATGCATTCCAGAAACTTATAGTGCGCCACACGTATGACATGTATATCATGTTAATGGCTTTAGGGTGTGAAAATGAGATATTGCCAGTCAATATAGAGTTGCCTTCTATTACACAAAAGTGAAAATTAATGAGACGAGACGAGTGCATATGAGCATATGAAAAGCTCAAGGGTAAAAATAATAAAATTGAAATAGTAATTTTCAATCTTGTGCCATTATTCAAAATAAGTTTCATATAGTTTGATAAGATATTAGAATCAATGTTTTGTTACTGGATTTTGTAGGCCGCATGACGGCAAAGTCCTATTCCATTTATAACACTAAAATGTATTGAATTCTAAACAATAGGACCACTCAGTGATCATACTTTTATATGATATGAGCGGCAACCTAAAACCAATCAAGATAGCTACTAATGCAATAACTTGTAGAATTGAAATGGCTTTCGAAACGTAGTCTTTCTTAATCTCTAACATCTAGATTAATTATTAATGGTTGATTGGCTCTTATTGCGTACAACGGATCGCCATCGCGGTCCGTGTATTTACCATTACCGCTATACTTGGTGGAAAGCTACCAACTACTAAGCTACTATTTCCTAGATATAACCGGGTAAACCTAGTAATGCAAACTACACTCTCGAAATCTATACATATAACAATTGAAGCATTGGGAACAACAAGGGCGGTCGGCACCCAAAGCCCGTTTTGATGTTATTGCATCAAAACATGTAAAACACTATCTAGTACCTTGTGCCAAAAACTCACTTCGATCTCCCTTCTAGATGGCGTAATTTTCATTCATTTAGAAGGTGGCATAGATTATAAATGTGCGTTTGAATTTCGGACACGTTACGATCAGCAGTTTATAAAAACTCATATTAATGTTGAAAAAAATGTCTGAGACGAGCGACTTCATCCTCAACATGGAGCATCTAAGAAGTCAGTGACCTGCTGAAGATGATACTTGTCGATTCATTTCAATCCAGCGAATTTAATAAATGATTAAAAATACGTTTAAATTTTTTTCAATATGACTTTTAAATAAGACAGACTCAGAATTTGTTTCCTTAAAAACCAATAATAAAACGAACGCCCCAATAATTTACCGGTTTGGAGCAACAAGGGCGGATGACAAGGAAAAAAACTGTTTTCAAATGTCTCTAATACAATTTATATTTTTATTTTGATAATACAGGTAAGATAAAAGAGACAACAAAAGCTTAAATACTAGAAAGTAAAACTAGGATCCTTAAATTATATGAACAAAATTGGGTTGCTGCGGCAAGGTGCCCAAGATACTGGCAGCGTTCCCCCTTTGTATTGCTATGCTAATGAGTTGGGCAATGTAGCTGCCGGCTCTTGGGTTTCCCAGACTGTCTATTAATTTTTTCGATAAAATTTTGTGCAGATGAAGGGCATTCGGACCCCACGGGCCAAGGATTTTGACTCCAAATGCTAAATAGGTAGTCGGACCCGAGATCCTGGTACTTGTTACTTTTTATTCTTTCCGCCAGCTCAGCTGCGGAGCCAGCCCTCTTGCAGGTGTGCTGTAGATGGGATGATGATGGGATGATGATGACATGTTTCTAATTATTTTAAAATATTAATAACACCTGAATCTTTTAGCTAAATCATAGGACAAATAAATAATAAAGTATATAAGAGTCATATCATAAATATTAAAAAGATATAAGGCATTAAAATTTTATTTTCAATTTTTTCGAATCACACTTTTACGTGATTAGCCCTT